GTTCTCAGGCCCCTCCCAGCTCTGACATCCCCTGTTCTCAGGCCCCTTCCAGCTCTGACATCCCCTGTTCTAAGGCCCCTCCCAGTTCTGACCTTCCCTGTTCTAAGTTTCCTCCCAGCCCTGACATCCCCTGTTCTAAGGCTTTTCTAGCTCCATGTACCATTTTCTAGAATTACTTTCAAGGTTCTCAGCAACCAAGAAAACTGAGCACAATTATGGTGCTGTGGTGGTAGACTCAGGGGGCAGAAGGGAGGCAGCACCCTGCAGTTAAGGTACACTGGATTGGAAGCCAGAGTACCTGGGACTACATGCTACTTCAGGTGCTCACTATTTCAGTGATCTTTGGGCCTCAGTTTCTACATCTGTGAAATGGGAGGCTTGGAGTAGATGGATTCTGCAGTTCCTTGACCTTTGTTCACAAGGAAAGGCAAGCCCCCAAAGCAGGATGGAATGACCTAAAGGACCGGCCCACACAAAGAGCCACCAACCAGAGAGCAAAATGGGAAAGGCCTCTGATTACTTGGGGCTCTAGGGGAAAGAGGGCTGAATTTGGAATCTCTGGACCAGGGTTCAAATCCCAGCTCTGACACTCGCTAGCTGTGTCTCTGAGACAAATGGCTTTCCCTCTCTGGACCTCAGTTTCCTCATCCGTCAAAGGAAGGGCTTGTACCGGGGCAGTCTCTAGAGCCTGCTTCTAGCTCTAAATCTTACAGTCCTATGAATCTCAGGAAGAACTTGCTGCCCCAAGCCCCAGGAGCACCTGGCTTGTCCAACCTGAATCAAAGATACTCAACTCAAATCTGGATTTGAAATTTCACTCCCAAGCCATGGTTTGGAGAAGCCAAGGAGGTTCATTTAGGGGCACAGTTTCCAGCCTCCATATTAGAAGGAGCATTAAAAACACACCCCTACATCCCTGGCGCCATAACAGAGAGGTTCCTCAGCACCTTCCATGGCCAGCAGGATGGAGCTGATCACACCCATGTGGCTTCCCACCCATGGCATGGTTTGGGCTCATTCTTTGCTGCCCCAGGGACACCACCACACCCTGAGTCAAGATGCTTTAGCATTCACATCTCAACTTTGCAAAATGCAGCCTGACCCCATGGGAGGGCTGGTGTATGGGGAAGGGTGAACCCCGGGGGAGTAGGGATGTATTACTGGGGTCCCTGAGCTAGAAGAGACCTTAGAAGGCATCAAGGCCAACCTTCTCCTTTTACTGATGAGGATACTGAGGCACAGAGAGCCTTGCTACTATATGGAGAAGTGGAAAGATCACCGGACTCAAAGACTAAGAATCTAGGTAGGAAGTCCAGCTCAGACACTGACCAACTAGCTATGTGACCCTGAGCAAGTCACTTCCCTGCTCTGAGATTCATTTTCCTTCCAAATTCAGGAGGTAAATGTTTTGTAAGCCATAAAGCATGCTCTCTGTCTCTCTGTCTCTCTGTCTCTCTCTGTCTCACACACACACACACACACACACACACACACACACACACACACACACTGCTTCCAAATCTATCTAGGTTGTTGTTGTTCAGTCGTATCTGACCCTTCATGACCCCATCTGGGGTTTTCTTGGCAGAGATACTAGAGTGGTTCACCATTTCCTTCTCCAGCTCATTTTACAGATGAGGAAACTGAGGCAAACAGGGTGAGGTGACCTGCCCAGGGTCACACAGCTAATGAAGTGTCTGAGGCTAGATTTGAACTCAGGCCTGACTCCAGGCCTGGTACTCTGAGCACCCCAGCCTGGGACATGAAGCAAATCTAGCAAGAATCTAGGCAGAGGGGTTGGTTCAGGGTTCAAGAAAGTATCATCTTTCTCATTGATCCATCCATTGCTAGCTGGACCTCTGGTTTGTCCAGATCTTGGAGCTAAATAGGAAAGAGAAAGATAGTGGACTTGCATTCAGATCCTGATTCGGACACTTACTAGCTAGGTGACCTTGGGTAAGTCATTTCTGCTGAGCCATTTTTCCTCATCTGTAAAATGGGGAAGGGGGTTGGCTCTGAAGCCAGCGTGTCTCTTCTGTCCCAGCCAAACCCTTCCTATAGAGAAACATCTATCTTCTCTACACTCCCCAGAGTTTCGTACAACCAGATAGTTCCTGGTCCCAACCCATGTGGATGCATAGTATTGGGCTCTAGGGCTAGAAGAAGACTGCACAGATCCATGGAGACCACCTGCCCACATCTGGCTGGAAGAAGACCGCACCGGCACATGAAGATCACTTACCCACATCAGGCTCCTCCTCGTGGTTGGGTTGGTTCAGCCTGGACGTTGCCTGCTGGATGATGTGTTGGAGGTGGTGTTTGAAGACAGCAGTGGTCAATGCCTCGTACTCACAGCCCAGCACCTCGGCGGCATAGTTGGCCCATTCAAATCGCATAAATTGCTTCCTGCCAACTGGACAAGGAGGAGAGCCAAGAGTCAGCCATGACACCCAGAACAGATGCCCCCATCATTGACCTTTGGGGATCCTCCCTTCTCTCCCAGCCTTCCCACACTGATTCTGTGAGCCTGACTTGAGCCTTCACCTCTAAGAAAGGCAGTCAGTCAGTCACAGCCCTCTCCATAACAGAGAAGAAGATATGGCACCATATTTATTGGTAGATTCACTCTCATACAAGCATTTCTTCCTGGCCCCCAGTAGAGAGCAATGGGAATAACACATGTTCTAAAGTCAGGGGACCTGAGTTCAAATCCTCTAACACTTGCCATCAATCTGTAAACTTTGAGCAAATCACTTCTCTTCCCTGACCTCAGTCTCCTCATCTGTAAAATAAGAGAGTTGGACTCAATGACCTCTCTGATCCCTTTGATCTCTATGATCCTGGAGAAGGAAATGGCAAACCCTTCCAGTATCTGTGCCAAGGAAACCAGAAATGGGGTCAGAAGAGTCAGACACAACTGAAACAACCGAACAACAACAAAAGAAGTGAGAGAATGTTTCACCGAGGGTTCTTCTCCCGATTAAATCTCATGGCCAGGTTTGCAGGATGGAAAGCATGGCTCAGAACTACTTCACCTGTCTGTGTTGACTAGCTAGGGCTTTGATTTCCACTCCTGTCTCACGGGCACTTCAAAAATGTCCATAAACATCTGAGAGCTTGATGTTAAAAAATGCCGCGGAGACACTACACCAGGCTGCTAAAAGCCCACCGATGTCTTTTGCTCAGCTCATGGCTCTTTGGCCTAAAAAATGCCGAAAAGACGGGAGTGATGCCCGGGGGCCACAGTAGTGATTTCTGGTGATCCAAGTGGCTGTGTTCTCAGCACCGCTGCCTGGGCCTCCTTGGTACAGTTGTTGAGAACATTTGTACAAAGGACTCTGCAAACCAGGAAGGGATATGAGGGTCAGTTGTTGTTATTGTTATTTCTGATTCATGCTGATCAATGATCCCATTAGCTGTAGGTATGTCCTCAAATCACACAGAGCATAACCCATGTCCCACTCCAATGGGCCCTCCACCATGTTGGATGTCTTTTCCTACGTCCCTTGGATACCAAAGAAACACGTCATCTCTCTACAGGTTGCCTCTTCCCCTCGCCCACTCTCTTTTCTAGTCATATATCTCTCTAATAACATCCTTCACAGTGCTTCTCTTATATAATTTTTGGTTGATCACATGATGTAGCCTCTTTACACACACCATGCACCTCCCCATTGACCTCTGGGTGACTTGAACTCACCAACTAGGGCCCTGTCAACAAATTATGTCTGTTTTCCAAGGACCAACCTAGCCAAGCACAGAGGGACTCATCACCCCTGAGTTGACCATTTGGGGATGAACTCTTTGGCCATGGTACCTCATGTAACAAAAAAAAATATAAAATATTCTTCAGTCAAGCCCATTAGAATCCCCTCACCCCAACTCCCTTAATACTGTGCAAGGTCACTCTCAACCTGGGCTTTGGACTCTCCAAATCACTCGTGACAAATATAAGCACTGTCCCCATGGGACATATGGGGAAACATAAATATTCCCCATTTTCCATTTTCCTGCACACACACACACACACACACACACACACATACACACACTACTATGTTTGAGGTCTCCCTCATTAGAATGTGAGCCCTGTGAGGGCAGGCGCCATGTTTGTTGTCTTTCTTTGTATCTCCAGCCCTTAGTACAGTGCCTGGCACATAGTAAGCACTTAATAAATATTTGTTGACTGACTATAATTCAAATGGAACATCCCTGGATGTGGTCTTCTCCTTACAGAAGAAAAAATAGGAACAGATCATTGTGGCCCAGAATAGCCCATGCTTGGAGGTGAATCCCACCACAATACTAACACCTTCAAACAGAGAGCTTTCTCATTCCGGTTGCTATGACCTTCATGTGACTGGCTGAGCTATTGGAAGTCACAGACAGAATCAGCAGTTGCTATTCCTGAAATAAGAGCAGTGGGACCATAGCTGGACTGAATGGATCTTGGCTGAATACTTAGTGGTTATTTTCAGAGACTAGGAGAAAAAATGTTTCACTAAATTAGATGTGTGAATTCATCAATCAATATATAGACAGATTACTCTAGTAATGTAAATTAATTTTAAATAAAAGTTATTCTGCTTACTGATCTATATGGTTAATAGCCCCTGGGGACCCTTTGAGCATCAATACAAAGCAAATCCCCTGAGCAAGAGAGTTCCAAAGGTCAATGTGACTAGAGTGGACATAGGCTTAGGGCAGAGGGGACAACCTCTGTCAGAAGCTTCAGATTTTGCAACAACAGCTGAGCATCAAGGCACCGAAGTCCTCTTTGGCCTATGTATGCATGTATCCATGTATCCAATGTATCCATGATCCCTCTGAGGGAAAAACATAGTCCATGCATAGCCATTCCCTTGGAAGCATAGACATAATAATAATGTGGCTAGAGTTTATATAATAATGGTTAACATTCTTCCTCAGCCTTTAAATACTTTAATATACATTATCTACTGGATCTTCACAATCCTGTGAAGCAAATGCTATTATTATCCTCATTTTACAGATGAGAAAACTGAGGCCTGGAGAGATTAGGGGATTTGCCCAGCTCCCACAGCAGCTATCCCAGGCAAGATTTGAAACTGAGTCTTCCTGACTCCAAATCTAATGCCCTGTCCACTATATTGAGGTCTTCCCCAGCTTTAGAATCAAAGTTTTTGGGGGCAGTCTGATGCCAGGGAAAGACCTGGAAAGATTGGAAGTCAGAGGGCCTCTGCCACTTACTAACTGGATGAGTTTGAAAAAGTTATCTCCTCTCTCTGGGCCTCAGTTTCCTCATCTGTTAACATGAGCAGGGTTGGATGAGATGAGCTCTAAGGTCCCTTCCAGCTTTATATTTGTGGTCCATTGAGCCTCTAAATATTAGAATTTGATAGAGGCCCATCTGTGCTTCCAGCATCCAGCTGTGTAGGTAACAGCTAGGAGGAGTGGGTGGGCGAGAGAAATTCAATTTCTCCTATTTTCACATGATTGCTACTTTAGAATTATAGTAACAGCACCAGAATTCATCTGAGAGCTGCTCGTCTGAGTGCTAACTTTGATGGGAGGAAAGCAAAAGCTCTTTTCATCCATCACCCTTATAACCCTCTTCCCCTCAAGCCACATGAACATATCCCACACAACGCTATCCCTCTGGAAGGTCAAGCTCAGTGACCGGGCAGGTCCTGCTGAAAGGAGTTAACACAGAACCAGCTCCCTGCGGAAAATGGTCAGATCCAGGGTTACTGAAATCTCCAGAATCACACTCTGTCTAAGCATAGAGGCAACAGGAAGTGTGAAGGGGTATACTAGTGAGATAGAGAAGCAGTCATGGCAGGGAGAAGGGGGACAAGAAAGGTGAGGGAGGAGAAACAGCAAAAGAGAGAGAATAGGAAAGGAAGGGGAGGAGAGAATAGATGGAGAAGTGAGCAGGAGAGAAGGAATGAGAAAAGAGGGGGAAAGAGAAGGAGAATTGGTGGAGGAAGCAGAAGAGAGGGAAAGAGAAGGAGAGGAGAGACAGAGACTAGATGGAAAGAGGGCAGGAGAGAGGTAATGAGAGAAGAGGAAAGAGAATAGATGAAGAAGCGGGCAAAAGAAAAGGAATGAAAGAAGAGAGGGGAATAGAATGAGAATAGATGGAGAAAGCAGGAGAGAGGGGAGAGGGAATGAGAGAAGAGGGGGAAAGAGAAGGAAAGGAGGGAAAGAAACTAGATGGAAAAGGAGGCAGGAGAGAGGTAATGAGAGGAAAGGGGGAAAGAGAAGGAGAGGAGAATGGATGGAGAAATAAGCAGGAGAGAGGGAATTAGAGAAGAAGAGAAAAGAGAATACAAGGGAAGAAAGAGAATGGTTGGAGAAAGCAGGAGAGAGGGAAGAGGGAATGAGAGAAGAGGGGAGAGGGAATGAGAGAAGAGGGGAAAGATAAGGAAAGGAGGGAAGGAAACTAGATGGAAAGAGGGCAGGAGAGAGGTAATGAGAGAAGAAAGAGGAGAATGGGTGGAGAAGTAGGCAGGAGAGAAGGAATGAGAGAAGAGGGGGAAGGAGAAGGTAAAGAGAGCAGGAAGAAAGAATAGGAGAAAGAAAAGAGGATTTGTGCTCACAATTCCTAAGACTTTCATCCACTCGTAGAGCTTGCTTGATTTTCATTTTGAATTTGTTGGGTCTTTTTTTCCCTTAACATGCTGAGTATGGGGGAAAGAGGCTCCCTCTCTCAACCTGCTGGTAGCTCAATTGCCTTAGCTCAATTGCCATCCATTACAGCAGTCTCCCACTCATATTAATAGCCAAGCTATTATTCTCTCCCAGCCTCAGTGGTGACGCTGGCATATCACTCTCCATTTTATGAACGGACTTCTTTATCTCTCAAGGACTGCTGCCTCCTCTATCCATGCATCTCAGAATTCCAAGAGTGGAGGAGAAAGGGACCCTGAAATTGGTCATCCTCCTTGGAGAAGAAAGATGATGGATGATGGTCCTAAGCATATATCCCTAATCAGGGACTCTTAACCTAGGCTAGGTTAACTCATTTTTTTAAATTTGATAACTGCATTTCAATATAATTGACTTCCTTTGTAATCCTAAGATTTTAATTTATGTATTTAAAAATATTATTCTCAGAAGGGATCCATAGTCTTCCCAAGATTGCCAAAGGGGTCTGTGACACACACAAAATCATTCCTTCCCTAATTCCTTTTCATCCCTTGCTGCATACCACCCAAGGAGGTTTATGCCCCCTCCCCACTTGGTGCATCTTATCCTCCTGACACCCTTTGCCTTCTGGTCCTCATATGACCCTAGATTTAGAGCTGGGAGGGACTGTCATGGTCATTTAGCCCAATCCCCTCTGTTTTCAGGTAGGGAAACATGCCCAGAGAGGGGGACTGGTTGGCCACATGAACGATCATACAGGTCAAGTGAGCATATGAGCCAGGA